AGAATGCAGAAGAATGGATACCATCACATCAATTTGGTTTTAGAGAAAACCACTCCACTGTACAGCAGATACATAGAATAACACACAAAATACACCAAGCAATAAAAAATAAAGAATACTGCACATCAGTCTTCCTCGATGCAAGTCAAGCCTTTGATAAGGTATGGTATCCAGGACTACTGTACAGAATCAAAAAATATCTGCCCATCACTTATTTCCACTTACTAAATTCCTATATAAATGGCAGAGAGTTCAGAACGAGAATCAATGATAGTATATCTAACAATTTTGCAATAAAATCAGGTGTACCACAAGGCAATGTCTTAGGACCACTACTTTATTTACTGTATACAGCAGACCTACTAGCTGATACCAACACAACAATGGGCATACTTGCGGATGATACCGTGATCCTCTCAGCCAACACAGATCCAGCAATAGCTACCTTCACTTTGCAAAATCATCTAAATCAAATACAAGAGTGGACAAATACATGGAAAATAAAATTCAATGAAACCAAATGAGTGCAAGTAAACTTCAGTCTAAGAAGAGAACAATGTCCTGCAGTTTTCTTTAGTAACATACAAATACCTGAATCACCCAGCACAAAATACTTAGGTATTCATCTAGACAACCATCTAACCTGGAAGGAACACATTACTAAAAAATGCAAACAGACTGATTTAAAAATCAAGGATATGCATTGGTTAATTGGAAGAAATTCCCAGCTCTCATTAGACAACAAAATCTTACTTTACAAAATAATAATAAAACCAATTTGGGTATATGGAGTGGAAATATAGGGATGTGCTAGCATAATCCAAAGATGTCGGTCAAAGATACTACGTATGATTACTAATGCCCCATCGTATGTTTCAAATATAACACTCCATGAAGACCTGAAAGTGCCTCTAGTAATGGAAGTCATAATAAGGAAAAGCACAAGATACCTCAACAAAATAGGACATGAGAACGTACTAATTAACCATTACTGGAACCACACAATGGACAAAGACTAAAAAGGAATTGGCCAGCTGACCTCAGAGAGGGTTAACGAGCACTTATCGCTGGATAAGCCCTCTCCACATCATGGGTAATACTACAGCTAATTATCTTATA